ATGCCGCAATAGCCAAATATGCCAGCGAGATAGGTCGGGCATGGGCGGTAGAGGTGGCAGCGAGAACATCCACGCCAGAAAAGCTTTGAGGCATGTGGCTGGCCTGGCACCAGAACTGCTGACTGAGGGATCTGCAAAACTTGTGGAAAAGGTGTCGGAGAAATCATTTCAGTTAGATGGCAATGACAATGCATCTGAAACCAGTGTGGCTGTGCAAATGATCGGCATCGTGACCTGTGGAATACTATGTGATTCCTCGTATCGCGGTTCTGTGATTTGACTATCTCTCTGTGCAGGGACATATCAAACATAGTGGTTGTTTGTTTCAGGGCAACAATCTCTAAAGCTCTAATGCTCTTGCACGCTACAAAGAACTGGGGAATTTGCATTGTGACGCAGCAAAGACCTGCGAGGCAAATGAACAAAAAACGGTTATATAACCATCTGTTGCCTGTCGGAGTCAAACAGGAACAGCTCAGGGCCTCAAGGAAAATGTGACAGTCAGAAAATAATTCAGCGATGCATGTGCACGTGCAACAAGCCAACTATTGTTGGCATAAATATGATGTCCAGAAAATAGAACGGATTCCTTGGATGCACTTCATGCACGTCACCTGTTCATCTTCAAACCTTCAAAAGGCCCTGGCCGGCTAGCATCAGCCAAAAGAGTGCCAGCGACCAGGCAATGGCCTACGCAGTCAAAGGTGTGCTGAAGGTGAATGTACTTATCAGTTTTGGGAAAGCATGGTTTGAACCCTACAACGGGACCCAAAAAATTAAGGGTTGCGGATAAAGTTCCATAAGTCGGATGGCATTCGGTTATTTTTCAAGGCAAAAATGGGCCATGGCACTCGCTTGCCTGCCAAAGGTGATTTCCCAAAATGATGCCGTTGGCCTTCGGATTCAAACAAGCGAAACAGCAAACGTGACGCAGTGCACCAAGCCACTGTAAGCTAAACCTCTGAATACCGGTAAGTTGGAGCTCGCTTAGAGAGTAGAGAGAAAGAAGTGGAGCGGCATCAGTCGGCGTCACCGTGTTCAAACAGTCAACAACTTTGAATCTTGATCCCATTTAAAAAAAGAAAGGAGAACGGTATATATAAACCTCAAAGGTTGAAAAATATACTGTATATGTGTTTGTATATACAGCATTATACAGCAATATAAAACATTTTTGGCGGAGCGCACAAGCCCTTACCGAAGGGTGACGAGTGGGCACTGCTGTATCGTTCGAGCAGAAGTTCCCTCCGTCGTGCCACGGGTGGACACAAATGATAATACTTTGAAAAAAAGTCTTCGAAGGAAGGTGGATCCCAAGCCATGGATCATAATTTTCTACACACTCGAAAGCTTATCTTCTTGGGCAGCCATCTCATGTCCTTCGTTTCTCTAACTTCTCAGTTCGGAGCTTTGAAGCGTCGGGGCACGCCACAGTTTGTGAAATGATCAGACTGGCGCTCCGCCCTATGACAGATCTGCTCAGCAAGATGTGGAGATTCACTGGACCTTCTTGAGGTGATACGACTGAGGTAGCAGAAATATAATCTATGAAGTGTTTGCTCCTCAAGTTCCCTTTCTCGATAAGATAGTTCATTCCAAGAAGTTCCGCTCCAGGAGATGATGATGATGATGATGACGATGAAGATACTAGGCACTCTTCTTTGTTATTGGCAGGTCGAACCTGCTCTGGAGCACACCGCACCACTTGGCATCTATGCACGATGGTCAGGCCGCAGCAGCGGTTGCTCTTGGATCCGTTTTGGACTTCTCAAATACGCCACCAAATCTCCAGGATCAAAAGTTGTGGTTGGTCAGTTCAGCACCTCGTGGAACTTTGCACTGCACGCTAGGGCGCTGCTCGACAACGGGTACCGGCTCGCAAAACCAACAAGCGCACGTTGTTTCCTTCTTTGGCATGTATCAGGGCGCCACACAATCGAGCGCCGCATCTGTGAAGTGCGCGGGCAACTTGCTGCGCGTGTGCACACATTTGTGGCTGCTCTGGTTCGAGCTAGCAAGGCAACTCCAATGACCGATCATCTTGCATATATGGATCAAGGCCGTTTGAGCGGCGGCTCGCCGGGCGTGTGCTCTGGAGGGACGCAGTGGGTGGGATCGGACGACTTTTCATGGCTCCTTCAACAAGTCTTGCAGAAGGTTCTTGCCCAAACACGAGTTAATGATGTGAAAACCCAAGGACCTGTAGTGCTAGTTCTTGATATGACTCGACATGAGCAGTACACTTCTTTGTGAGTTCTTTGGTTGATGGAGAAAAGTTCATCAAGCAAATTGCCTTGCGTTTTGGAGTTCCTGTCGGCGCTTCTTCCAAGACGTCGCCAATGCCTCAGCGACATCGGAGATTCATTGAACGTCTCGGCATCGGGATCCGATCCTGAGTGGCCTGATGATCTTCCAGCAGTTGTTCCACGTCAGGGAACTCTTCTATTTTGGGGGTTCCGCGGGCTCGGCCATCTCTTCTGTTGGCCAGGTCGGGATAGCACGAACGAAGAGCCGCAGCAATAGCTCCACGAGCCCACGCTATCACAACTGCAGCCCAGTGTGGCGCAACAGCAACCATCCGATAGCATCTGCCAAAAAACTCCGATGCTCTAGCGGACCACCCAAAATCTCACCAAGCTCATCGACAACGTTTGTCCAGCAAGGCCCAAGTCACCTGGTCGCCGGGTGTCGTGCTCCAAGTGTTCAACAGTTTCCTATATTCTTTGCCAGTCAGCAGGGTGTTAATAAAAGCTCCTCGGGCTGTCTCAGGGAGCTGTCTCAGGGATCTTGTCCCGTGTCAACAGCTTGTTTTTGACCGAGGTCGTCCATCTTTTTATGTTCTCTTCCAACCTCGCACCCACCTGAGAATGCACGCAACGAAGCGGTCACACTTGACATCGAAGTCATGCGTCAAAGGTGAGGAACGCATCCTAAGGATCTAGACCAGGGCTTCGGACCGGGCTCCGCTACCAATTGTGGAGAACGAGTGGGCGCTTCTTTATTGCTCGAGCAGAAGTTCCCAGTGGAGTTAAAAACCACGCTCCGAGGGCAGTTTGCCCCACTATAGAATCAAGTATCAACCTCCTGCAGTGCGGGAAACCCATTCTCTATAGAATCAAGTGCCTCAGGGTATGGGTGTTCATCAGCATGAAAAATTGATAGCAAAAAAATTGAAAATCAATGTTGCATAGCCAAGGTTGGTTTTGATGTTATAGAGAAGTGTGGGGACATATGAAGGTTGAGATTGATTTTAGAAGAATGTTGGACAAAAGTGGCACAAGAGGTTAGCTTCGATTTTATAGAGAAGTGTGGGGACATATGAAGATTGAAGTTGATTTTAGAAAAATCTTGGACAAAAGCGGCCCAAGAGGTTTGTTTTGATTTTATAGAGAAGTGTGGGGACATATGAAGGTTAAAATTGATTTGATAAAACTCCACCTACCTGACCTCACAACACACCATCCACTCTAAAACCAATTCTCTCAAGCTCCCAGATTCTATATATAGAGGATATTCGGCAGGGGATTATATATATAATATATGTATGTGCAGTATTTTCTGCCAAAAGACAAGAAAAGACATGTCTGGAACATCTGGAACCGAGTCCCGATCCCACAGGTCGTGGAATTGGTCATCCTGCTTCGCACATCTGCCCTGCCGTTGACCATCGGCGACTGAGTGATGGATCGGCTACAAGCGTATCGAAGCACAAAGCGTACAAACATTGTACCATAGAAGGATCATGTGCTCTTGCACTCGCAAAAGAGTTCTGTCTTAAATACAGAAACTCAAAGTTTGGTGAGTGATGCCAGTCCTTTTGCAAAACAAATAAGGGCTGGTGACTGAGTGTTGTTCGCCTGCCAAACTGCGACGCAGGTGAGAATCAGAAAGACGGAACCCGCCACATAGGGGGCCACTCGCATTCGCCAGTGATCCTGCAACTGGATAGGCTGCATGCATTTCTGCCTTCATTGTTTCGATGTCCGTTGAAAGCTTGTACAACATGTCCTACTATGTTCACCACACTGATTTATCAGCAAGCCTTTCAAGCAAAAAGCAAAAGTTGCTTGGGTCGCCGGATCACTCCTGCTCACAAATGGCCCAGCAGCCGGCACCCTCCTCTGGCCTCACATACAGAACCCATCTCAGGAAGCAGCCCTCAAATCTTCATGCATCAAGAATCATCAAATCAAGCATGTCAAGCCAATTCCAATGCCTTAACATGACTTCAGATTCAAGCCCAAATTCTATTCTATTGCATCTGGTGTGTGCGCGCGCTCCTCACAGTTCCAACGAAGAGTCCCCGCCGAGCAATGTCATCACAAGGCATGAACTGATCCTGGCAGAAAGTATCATACTGAGTTCTCTGATGCTGTATACTGTGTTGCTTTTCATCTTCAGGTCTCATCGTTGAGCAACTGCTTGCTCGTGACCTCTACTCGAGAGACTCAAGGCTCCTCGTCGGGAGCCTCCGCTATTTTTCCTTCACCTGCACCAATGTCAGAAAGGTCAATGCCTCAAAGGTACTGGTCACGCCGCTACTATCGCTGCCTTCAGCTTCTGGCCAATCCTCAATAGGCGCTTGGGCCAGGAGATTTCCTGGCCACAAGACATTGGTTCAGCATGGTGGTGCAGTGATAGGTTTGTGCCATTCATGCTTTAGCTTGATGGGATTGATCTCTTTTGCAGTGCATCGTTGCAGAGTCATCACAATGATGCAGGATGGTGCAGGTGCATATAAACAAGGCTCAAGGGTCTGAGGTATGCCTTAATCTATAGTCTATATATATATTATATATATATAGAGACACCGAAGGATGGTTGGCTCGACCTGCTGCGATACTCACCATTATAGTGCTGTTGTTTGCTTGCAGTGAGGCGTTCGTTCTGGATCACAAGCACACCAGCACTAGGTAGAAAACATCCAGGGAAAAGGAGGCACAAAGATATCTCCAAAACAACCAAAAGCAAGTTCTCTCCAGCTCTTTTCCGGCACAAAATCACGCGCCTGGATCAACCTGGGGTGCCTTGGTAGTGAGGAAGATCTCGTCTTCCAGGCCCTACGCAAAAGCACAGCCATCTATGACAAGACAACATGGTAACATCCCTCTCTGGATGGAAGCCTTGCATGCAACACCCGCCGTCTTGCAGCAAAACTTCTTCTTCGCCAAAGACCTTCGCAGCAACAGCCATTGAACCTCTAGTGTAACCTCAAGCGTCCTGGATACTCCTTCTCCCATCCCTTCACTTATAATGCAGCCTAACAGTTAAAAACATGTCAAGGTATTGCGTTGTATTTTATATATATATAGTTTTCCTCAGCATCAGCGTCATTTGTGAGATTCAGCCAAACAGGGGCGCACCAGGCACGCTCATAGTTGCGCAGCGCCACATCGCAGTGAAAGTCTTCCTGCATTAGAGTCTGCTGTTGAAGCAACCACTTCATCGCGCTGAGTTGCCAATGAAAGAGAAGCAGTTCAAGAAAGTTCTGTATGGTTCGAATGATCCAGCCTCACATGCTATGCCCAGATTCTCGCAACACCACTCTCGCTTTTCCCGTGACCTGAACAGCTGTCGAGGGGTCTCAGAATTCAGCTGTTGATGCCACAAAAACTTTCCCTGGTGGCTCTGAGCAGCCAGCCATGCCGCATTTGCGTTTTGCAAGTCGACGTCACAGTGAAAAGTAATCTGACCGGGCATCTCATACAGCTTGCTATGTATGGACCAATGTTGTGAAAGGTGACAAAGGTTCGATTGACACGGCTCAATGCTGCTCCTCTCTTGCATCTTCCACGTGTTTCATTCTGCCATGTTCTTTCTCAAGACTGGCACAGCAAAACATAGCAAAACAATCCCAGACGCATACCTGCTGTTCACCAAAATGGTACCCAGTGCCATCCAGTGCCTGCTTCGCGCTATCGCCTTGTGACCAGCATCGGTTTACCTGATGCAATGACAAGCATTGCATAGCTCACATAATCATAATCCCTTTCACCAACAGGCAAACGATGCTCTTGCTTCCATGACCAAGTTTGGCCCCTAGCTCGATTGCCACAGCCTATACAAAGAATTAGGTTTGATAGGGATGATGAATAGCCTTAGGCCCTCGGATTGTTGGATTGTTGCGCTGAAACTATTGAACTTTGAAACCTTTCACGCCAGCTGACATGCTGTTGAGGTCAAAAAAAAGATTCCGCCTGCCAAAGCCCTAGCAGCAGGCTTGGCCGCATCTACGAAAGCGAGTGAAGCGGCGAGGTGTTGGGATGAGTCACATTGTTCTTTTTTTTGGGTGGGGTAGACCGCTAGAGGTGAGGTAGGAAGTAGCTAGTAGTAGCTATAGGTAGCTACTACCTGCAAGTAAGCTACTAACTGCTGGACGCAGGATAGCTCACGCTTCTTCAAGGAAGCTCCCCCTGCCGCCCTAAAGGTCGCGGGGGAAGCTTCCTTGAAGAAGCGCTAGCACTATATAATGATTTGGCTCCTAGATTTCTACCTGAACTGTGACAGGCCCGTTGACTCAGCAATTAACCGGTTTAGTTTGGGGTTGTAAACTCGCACATGTGCACAAAGAGTGGAAGCAAAATGTCAAAAACTATGAAGGAAAGTAGCCTCAAGTTCCGAAGTTCCAAAGGGTTTGGGCATCAGAGTCTGCGTTTGGTGTTTGCAAGACAAACCCTGCCTCAGTGGGACATTGCCTTCTGCTATGTGAAACTAAACCAAGGGAATCCACTTGACTTGAGCCCAAACAGCAACACTGACAACAACAAAGGTGTCTTGAAAACAATCTCCAGCTTTTCTTGATTCCTGGCCTCAGCTGCACTGGAGAATGCTCTACTGAGACTCTACTGTTCTGATTACAAAATGTACAACAAAACTAGGAAACATGCTGAAGACATGCTACCGCAAAGGTTCGTTCTAGCTCACAGCGAGGAGTGTGCTCTTTGCGTTGAAATTGGTCCCATTGGGCACGGCTCAAACGACACATGTGGAGGCTCGCGAGTTGAGTGAAGACCCAAGCCTGCAAAGCACCAATAGTCCATGGCAAAACGGTTGTGATTCCTACAATTGACACAGAAACACCAATGCTGATACAGTAAATGATGCTTGCTTAATGGAAGACCTCATCTCTGAATGGGTCCATTGCTCTCAAGCATCAAGTTCACATCATCTTAGTTGCAGGCTCTTCAAAGCAACCCGGCTAATGGTCAGCGGCACCAGCATGTCCCCAAAGCTTAGGATCTGTCGCCAATTGTCACATGATTCTAGAGAGAAGAAACCTCAATTCCAAACAGAAGTTCTGATTCATTGATTCATTGGAATGTGATTGTGCACTCACACATGTAGCAATCGGTACAGGTACGCAATTTTCAAGCGGATCCACGAAGTAGCGAGGATTTGCCTACTGAGGATCATTTCAGAATCTTAAGCATTGATTGTGCAACAAGGTGAGCCAAAGCGAGCCTCTGGCAGCGCAAGGAGCTGCTCCAACGCTGGCAGCCCCAATCGACTGACAAGCTCCTTGAGGCGCAGGGTCTATTCTAGGCTGTGCACACCATCTTCGTTGAAACAAATGCTGCACCTCCACATGATCGAGGACAACAAGGACCTGCCACAATTCTAGTGGTTTCAAAGAAGCCAAAGAGACCACAATTCATCTGAAAACCCTGCCTGGCTACACTTCAGACGGCTCAACTCTGCCACCGGCGCTTTCAAGGCTCCCTACATCGTTGCTGATCAATGATATTTATTTTGTGTGCACACATACAACAAGTCAATGCAAATCCGTTAAGGGTTTAGCACCAAAAAAACAAAGTAGGTTTCAAGGTTTGGTCTTCAATTATGCACACACCCTGTGATTTACTGTCAAAGCAACTCACGTGATGCAGCTGTGGCCCAACCAAGAAGCCCAAGCTTTGCTTGAATGATCTGCCTCTAATCGATCTATAGCCCGCAGTTGTTGAGGAAGCTTCGCCTCTAGACCTTGAGGAAAAGGCCAGGAAACTGACTGAACCCTGTGCATCAAACATCTGAGTGACGGTGTCTGGTTGGGCTCGGGGACTCAAGAGTGACTAGGGCGACCACTTTCCAGCTTGGACAAGGCGGCTTGCTGAGCCTCCTCTGCTAGGCGTGTCCTCGGACAACGCCACACTTGGGAATGAACGTGTTGAGAAGTGTCCGTTTATGCAAAGTAGTAGCCAACAAAAAAGTCTTGAACCGCTTCTCCGTAGTATGCCATGTTTGAAGTGCCAGCAAACCAGGCTGCCCAACACGCCCATCGCTAACTTCCTGTGCAAGTCTGCTTGGGATAGAATACCTAAGACGCAGGAGGGTGTCAAATGGGCCAGCAGTCAGCAGTCAAAAAGTGCGCATAGAGGTTCAAGATCGCTCAGGAACCAGACAGTAGCAATTAAGCCAAACGTACCTGTGCAAGCCATGCGAGTCTAACAGAATCACAGGTTGTTGGTCCGATACATCAAGAGACATCGCTTGAGCAGGTGTACATCTAAACGGTGCCAGGTTGTTGCGCACTTAAATCCCAGCTCTTTCAAATAGCCTGCGACCACTCCAGTCTTCCCAACTCCTGCATCATCAGCAGTTCGAGTTCTTCACACGGTGGACTGGATGTGGAGGCTTCTAAGCATCTCTGATGTGCCACTCCTGCAGGGCCCCAAATATGCAGAGCACAACCACACCGTCGGCGCAAAGAGGAGGGCCTTCAAAAATCAAAGCTGCTCAAGATTGCTTCTTGCAGAACAATATGTTGAATCCAACTTGAACACGGTTAGCATCCCCCATTGAGCAGGATGCATAAACGAGCCCAGAGACTGCCACGAGCAATCGGTTCCCAAAAAGAGAACAAACCGACTGAAACCAACAGGCACTGATAACAACCACAGCCACTGGAACAAGCTGGGGGGAAGGCTGCAAACAAACAACCAGGATTGTACTGAAGGAAATTCAACCTGAAACAACTGACTGCGAAGATATGCATCGATGACTTACCCACGACGCGCGGAAATCGAGATAGAATTCTTGGTCTAAGTCCATGTTCAAACTTGAACTGCATTGCCTTGAGTCGCCATCTCCAAGGAAACGGTACAAGGCAAGCACCTTGCAGAAAGATCAAGCAAAGCCAAGCACCTTCCAGCATTGAATCGATCTGCAAGACACCTCTGTGAGCCTCTCCTTACCTTGGGCGGAGTCGAACGTTCGTGAGATAGACGTCGACTTGAAGGTGTACCACAACAAAACATCTTACAAAGAATGTCCTGCAATCATCTGTAGTCTATGTTATATATATATACATCATTTTGGATTCAGTACAGCAAACCAACTGGCAGATAGCTCTTAGCCTTTTAAGATCTCGGCCAAAACGTCGCAGCAGGGGCAACAAAGATTGCTGGCTTGTGGAAGGCAGATCACTCCTCGCAGTTGCACATGAAAAGTTTCCAGAAACCCAGCCATGTCAAAAATATTCGCTGCTCGAGGCCCTATTGGAAACAACAGCGTAGAGGCAACCTCTAAAATATGTGAGAAGATTGGCATGAATCGAATCGTCAAATATGTGATGCAGACTCGTATCCGTATCTATGATTGTTGTGTTCAATGTCCCATTGCTGGTGCACCATACCCAGCGTGTCAACGTCTTAAGACCTTCAGTACTTCTGAGGCCCGAACAGCAAAGCCAGTAGCCGAGAATCCTGACAGGACACATAAGCATAAAATGATACAAGCTCTGTTCAAAGGTCCAACCTCCGGCTCTGCTGTCTCAGCAATGTTCCCATCCTGGGAAGCGGCTGGTACCTGTTGACTTGGGCCCAGTCTACATGCATTCTGCCAGCTGTGCAAATGTTCCTTCTTGGCCTTCACCCTGCACCCAGAGTTGCATCCCTTGTTCTTAAGGAAGCGTCTTAAGCGGGCATCGTGTCAAGAAGGAAAGGACTTCCAGCCTCGCTGATATCAGTTGCAGTCTATTGTGGCGCTCTATGGTGATTTGCCTAGCAATCTCTCATGACTTGTGGCCATCTGGGCTGATTGTGTGATTTCCGGTAGTGTTTCATGGCTATCCCAGCTCTGTGGTGCATTCCAGCTGTCTGTTATGATGAATACCACAATGATCCACAATGTAGTTTGGGTAGCTAGTGCTGACCTTGGTGCAACTATGACAGTGCGCCTTGCAAGCTTGGCATTGCAAGGCCCAACCGAACCTTCACCCCCCGGCCACATGTCATCACAGCAGCCCTTATTCACCTCTCCCCAGTTTCCACCGAAGGCCCATTCCGCCTAAACACGCAGTAACATTCCCAGCACGTGGTTGATGATAAATCTCTAGTCTTTGCATAAGCAGACTCGATGCGGCTAGCATGCATAAGTTCTCGCCAAGTCATGCATGGTGTATTGAACGTATTATTTTGGAAGCTTTGTGATACGGTGTTGCACAAGTGTTGTCTCTCCACATAATGTGGTGGTTGCCAAGTGAGAAAGTGTACAAACAAAGAGAAGGGGTGTTCCTACCAGAATGGGTGCTTAAGAAGAAGGATTTCATGCTATTCCTATGTGCTCTTGAGCATAAAGCTCATCTTTGGGGCACCTCCATGTCCAGCTTCTCGGGCTTTACCGGCTCACTCGGGCATGTTTCCTGTGGAACAAACAGCAACAAATCAAGCCCCGAGATTGTTGCCTAAGGTTAGGGTATAGCAAGATGTTCGTCTGATAGATGCTTGTTTTGGCAAGGCAAAGGGCAAAACTCAAAGCATACTCTCGGCTTGTGAGTGTTCAAACAATGTGAAGTCGTGCAGGTCTCAAATCACGGTGGCGAATGAAGCGCAATGTTTTACCTCAAGGAGAGAGCGTTTGAGATGTCCAGGCCTCCTTAGCAGGTTCGTTCGCAATAGTTTTGCGGCACCTTTGAGTGCTGACACGCTTGGAGCTGCTCAGAACGATTGAAGTCAGAACTTTGGGTTGCAATTATCGTCAGTCAACAGCTCACGTCACACTACGTACCGCATTTGCTGCCCTTTTTCATTCTCCGCTGCGTTCTGCAAGAGCAGAGCGAACCTCAGAAATGAGTGCCTGACACGCTCCGAAAAGCATTCAAAAGTCTTCGCTCTCGCACAATACCAGCAAGCATACCACCAGAGACTCAGGCTTTGAAGTGTTGCGCCTAACTTACACTTGCACTGCTTTAACGAGCTGGACCTTCGTGGTTTGATGACCGTAGGTAGCAATCGCTATGCCATGCAAACCAGTGCATGTCAGATTAGTTAGTTGCTTGCATCGTTTTGTAGTCGATTTGATACCTCACAATGAATCACTCTACAATCAGTTTCTGTTAACGTTGAAACAAAGCTTGTGGCATCTGCCACCAGCCACCAGCGCGCCTTAGCTTTGGCCTCAGAATCCTCAGGACCATCGCTCTTCAGCAAGCCACGAACCTGGAAGGAAACCACTCTGACACCGAGGGCATCTTGCTTCACTCCAAACATTTCGAAACTCTCGGCAAGCCACCACAGCCACACCGTCAGCGCCGGAGCGAATGCAGTCACCAGCAGAAGATAGATCCACCTCAGATGGAGTGACAAGGCATATGTGCCCATGGGAATGTGTTGCTTTTCTGTGGCAATGCTCTGAGATGTTTACCCCACCAATGGCGACAATGGGGACTGGTCCCTGGAAGCCAGCTTAGCTTGACAAATTCATCAAGTAGTACTGCTTGCTGACCTTCGAAGCCACTTGCGTCCGCAAGGCCGGTAGGTGTTCCAACCCCTGGATGCTGAGGCAGTAACTTGTTTGATGACTTGATGTTGCTGTCTGAAGCCGGCGCCTTCGCAGCACTTGCCTTTGTAGGCGTAGCAAAAATGGCACCACTGCCCAGGTAGTCTGCATTGACCTTGGTGTTTTGCACAGTAGGCGCTTGCTCTTTTTTCACGTCGACCGCCCTTGTGCACCTCGGGATGGAGTGCTGCAGACACCAGCTCTGGCTGGCCATATGTGGAGCAGCCGAGGATCCTGCATTCACACTGGAGGAATCGAATCTTCAATCCTCTGCAAACACCGTGTGGGTTCACAACCCTTTCCACCACCAGAGACCACAGGGGCAATCTCGGAACTGATTGTGTCCAAAAAGGGGAACCAAAAAGGACATGGGTAAGCGCTTTGTCCATGTCAACAAAAAAATGTGGTTTAAAAATAAATAGACAAATACAACAAAGTAAAATAAATACTGTAAGCATCCCTAAAATCATGCCTCAAATCATGAATTGTGACAAATACACGACACGAAATATAGTGTATACTGTATACACTTGAATGCCCTAAGCTTTGACCTTTACCTGGAGCTGTTTCTTTAAATTAGAGGTGCCGGTTCCTCCCCAAACTGACTGGGGGCCAGGATACTGCGGCACTTTTTCTTCCTTTCTCCTCTATGAGCTGGTGTCAAAAAGCTGCGCTATGCTGCTACGCTTGCACTGGCAAGTTCAGCTTGATCATGGCTTCCTGCGAATCAGTTTGACAAGCGTAAATGGCACGACATGTTGGGTGTGTTTGGTGAGCTGGAGTAGCCTTGAGCACACCCATGACCTGTGGCTTCTTTTTTCGCAAGGCGGCCTCGGTCCAAATATCCAGAATCGGTGGTATGGTACGATGGTTCTGTCTTATGACCCAGCCTCAAGCATCATAGCAGCATCACGGGGGTCCACCCGTGAGTTGGCATCAGCAGCCAAGTGCATGATCTCAGCACCTGCCACACTAAGCATAGCCCAGAAAGAAACTGGCAGCAGGGCTTGCAGGAGCAGTTTCTGCTGGCAGCAAAGGTCATGGGGTGGCGATTTCGGAGGCCTGTGTCCAGCATATTCAGCTTGGCGCACATCCCAAGCAAAGTGCTGTTCATGGCAGCAGTTGGTGTGGAGCTCTCTGTCAGCATCTTGTAGACCTTGAGCCAAGGTCTCAAGATTGTTTGGTCGAGAAAAACTGTCAGCTCAACCATCCAACAAAGAGCCGCGCCTCACTGGCTCGACGGCCCTGCCGATCACGAAGGCAGCACTGTGCCAACTGACCAAAAAGTCGTGGCTCCGGCGAGACCTTTTGTAATGGCAGCTCCTGGATGGCTGAACAAAGCACTTGGGAATTACAAGTGAAGTTGATGTTGGCAGCTACATCTAAGTCAAACTCTCGGAACAGTCATGTTGTCTCCTGGCGCAACAAGTCTACTGCTTCATCCCAATGCTTACCTTGGAGAGCAAATCCAGATACACAAAAAAAAATGAACACATGTGGACATGTAGGATTGAACTCCAAGACGCATTGAGCATACAGGCGAATCAGGATTGAAAAGGTTGCTACAGATGGCTTAACATTGGAGGCAATCATCTCCTTGTATAGGTCCTCAAGGAGTGAAAACGTTTGATCAAGTGATCAGGTGCACAATCATAAGCATGTTTCACTGAATCCTTCGGAATCCTTCACCATCTTATATAATCCATCTCATTGACTTAGCCCTCCTTGGCCAATTCCAGCTTGCAGTCGTTGATGCAGCCGCCCAACAGGTTGTTGAAGACGACCTGACCGAAATTCCCCCGCATCCTACGAAAGGCCCAAACGAAGTCCCTCGGTCCCTCTCAGTCCCTGAACCCTCTCTGGCCTCGTCCGGCTTGAGTCCTGCCTCCTTCATGGCCAGTAGCATCTTCAGAGCTTCTTCTAGCCTCGCTTGGTTCAGCTTGGTTGTCTGTCCTTCTGTCCGCACAGATTCTGTTGTTACCTATGACTGCTGGTTTTATGGCTGATCTGTTCAACAGAACTTGGTGAACAAAAGGTGTTCAATGAATTTATTCTTGGTCTCTGGTCTCCCGCCTGCCCACATCGCAATTTGCTTTGATGAGGATCGAGAATGTGATGACGTCTGGCTGCATGGACCTTTCCTTTCGCATCTCCTCATAGATTTGCACAGCTTGGTCCACTTGCCCTGCTCGTGCAAAGCCTTTGATGAGAGTTGTGTAGAGCACCTTGGCAAAAATAAGAATCAATTTAGACTCAATGTATATAATATACAGACATACATATATATATATATATGTACATACTATTGTAAATTCAGTACTCTGTGATGTACTATCTATCGAAATCAAACTCGCCCTCCTTCGAGCGAGGAGCCGTATTCATTTGGCAGCCCTCCGTGCGCATGGTGTTGAAAATGTCCACCGCTTTATCCACCTGCATTGGAACCCTTACAAAAGGGTTGTGAAGTCGGCACAGAAAGACAAAGTCGAAGTCCCTCCGAGTCCCTGAGCCTCATTGTCGTTGATAAAGCCATCCAGCAGGATTCCATAGGTCACTTGAGATGGGCTGAGGCCACGCGAACGCATCAGCTGGTACAATTCGAAGCACATGTCCATGCGACCAGCTTTGGCATACCCCTGGAATGGCCAGTGGCTGTGGCTGCACAGTCAAGCGCTTGTATCCTGTTTTCTCAAGTTCATTATCTTTAAGTTACAAAAATGAAGACACAAAACAGCTGATCACGGCCTTAGCCAGCGTATTGTAGGTGATGACATCGGTGACTCCTCCAGCTGCAACCATTTGATCCAAGAGCTTACGGGCCTCCAAGGAAAGTGCACAAAAAAAAGGATTTGCTGCTTTCAAGCAAATGCAAGAGACAAAAAAGTAAGGTAAACCCCCCGTCAATAAGGGCCACTTTAAAGGAGCCCTTATAGAAGAAACCCTTACCTTCTTTCTTTCATCTCAAATCTCCGGCTGCTGCCGGTGGCATGGGCGTGTGCGGGGCGCCTGGTCGAGCTGTTCGGCACTTACACAAGCCGCTAGCACTGTGTTGTACACCACGCTGTCCACCTCCACTTGTGCCTCCCAGACTCCAACCCTAGCAATGCCCACTTGCCAGAGGACTAAAGCGGTCTCACTTGCGAAAGCCTTGACAAACACTCATGTCCAATCCAACGCCCCTTGCAAAGTTTGAAGGTTTCAGTTGACTACAGAACTATATACTGAGAACTCGCTTTCAACAGTGAGTTCCCAGGCCCGAGACATCACCCACCAGAGTGCCACAGTAGGTCCAAACAGGTGAAAGCAGCTGGACATGGCCCCTTAGCCTTGGCATCCGGGTCTATCACGCTTTAGCTGCGACCGCCCAGCCTTCTGCATGTCGTCAATGAGATGCAATGCCAACCGCCAGTTGCTTGTACTTGAAGCGTATCGCACCATGTTGCCTTGAAGGACAACACATCATCTTGCTGTCTACGCAGAAAATATCCGGCCAAGAGGCCCCAAACAGTTTTTTCGGATGACGATAGCAACCAAACACTGGCATACACACACGCACACAAGAGCAACGAACCCTGCCAAGGCGTTTCACAGCAATAGCCTGACAACATCAAAACGCCAAAAAGCAGCTTTCGCTTGATACCTCCCCAAATACTCCAAAAACGAACCCCGCGTCCAAAAATCACGATTGTGAAGCCGCTCTCATCTCCTGCACCTGCTACGAGAAGTCAACGAGGTTTCCCTTACGCATGCCATTAAGGTGACCACCAAGTCCGAAAATGTGCACGGCACCACAACCAGAGCGCAGTCCGAAGCAAGCACCCGTGCCAGCCAGAGAGTTTCTGCGAGCCTGTGCAGTCGAAATGCGAACGCCGGTGAGCACCACCGATCGAGAACCCGGCCTTAACCCCTACCGCAAGAACCCCTCGTGAGACCTCACTGTTTGTGGGGAAATAATACAGTGTTGGCAACTTTGAACACTGAAGGAAACAAAATTAGAACACCCCTGCCAAATTGCCAAAGTCCTTTGGAGATGGAGAGCCATAGGTTCTCAAACGCTCGAAGAAGAAGGAGCACCGATGATAGCCTAAGAGCACAGTTGAGCTCACTCAAACTCAGGCAAGCTCTCGGATTCAGAAAAGTCTCTGGTGCAAACGGCAAACCCTTGCATCAATTATGCATTTCACACAGCACAAGGGATAGTGGCAGGTAATAGTGTTTATCACCAAAAGGCTCTTGGTCTCGACAGCACAGAAGAGCAAGCAACTCCATACACTCTTGTCCTGGAAGCGGCGACTATTGCACCAAAGGACCTCCAACATAAAACTAAGTGTTCATGACTTGTGATCCAGTACCGTCAAGAGTCCTGAACTTCAAGTTTAGGATCTTGCGATGTGAAGTCATAGATGCTCAAGCAGTCTGCAAAAAGCCTTTGCTCGAATCGACTGAAACGGAATGTTGGCAAACACAAGGAAGCCATGGAGCCTCTGAAAGCCTGGTAATGTAAAACATTGACAGAGTAAGGAGATGGTCAAACTTGAGAACCTCCAAAGCTACTGGACAGGCAATCTTCGTATCCTCTACTACCTTGTCCTGCTAGTTCTTGATTTGTAGAAGAGTCTAGCGGCTAGCGGCTAGCGCTGATTCCAGGTTCACTCATCTCCGAGGCACTGCTTGGAGGTGCAAAGCTTTGTGGCCGAGGCCAGCAAAGCGACATCCACTTCTTGAAAGCGCCGGAGGTCCTAGCAGAACAGATGCGGAGGTCCTTGTGTTTATCTTTTGCTGCATAAATTCTCAAGCAAGTGTGCGTTGCAGTGGGCGAGATCTAGAAACTGTCCTTCATGAGGTTCAAGGCATCATCAGCTTGCCCCACACGGATGGCAGCAGTGACCAAATGTGAGTAGAGTTGCTGACAGTCATTCGCGGACATCTCCTGGGCAAGAAATTGAATTGTCAAGCCCAATGCTTACAAGCAGCTTGTTGCAGCTACACCACCCCCTACTACACAATCCAATCGTCTGCATCAGAGTGTGCCCGACAATCATGACCAAGAGTCCTTGATGTTTAAGCCTGCCCGCACAGCAACTCGGTACAATTCCATTGCACGTTGAACTTGAGAGCGGCAAAGAGCAGCCACCTGCGCCACGACCCATGAAGGGTCTTGGAGCTTCTTCGGGTCAACGGTGGAGGGTGTGAGAGTCTCATCCACGTTGGCGCGCCGAGTCGTTCCACGACGTGGAGCTGGAGCCTTACGGGCCTTGACTGGATCGACACGCTTGTTGCTCAGTGACTGGCCCGCCACCCATAGAAAGGCGAGAGCCACCAAGAAGCTCAGCTCGATGCGCAGCATGTAGAGACCTTCATAGACAAGTTCGATGACAGGTTCCATGGAGACCGCTGGACCTTAGGGTTTGTCCAGAACAGGGAGGAGCGTAATGAAAACGTTGAATCGCCACCACAGGGCGAGGGAGGACGGATCCTGAGGCGAGCTTAGCAATTCTGAGCCAAAGGCAGCATGCACAGGGACTCATGTTCAATTCTTCAACGACTAGCAGCTTCACGACAGTCCCTTTCTTCGGCCAATCAAACCCTTGAAGCCTTCCAGAAAAGTCAAGTGTCATGTCTTTTGCTAGCAGCGAAGCATTCCGCCTCTTTCCCCCTCCGGAGGTCCAGCGATCTTGGGGTTCGGCTGTGCAGGGCCTTTAAGGATTCTTGATTCTGCGTCTCCCTCGAGCGCAGTCAGACTGGTAACTGCAAGCTGCCTGAAATCTGCAGAGTTTCCAATAGACAATTGCTATGCATATACTTGACTATCCATATATATATAATGTCGATATATCTGGCTGGCACAGACCAAAGGATGAGTTGCTATGTATGCACAATATATACACATATGATTCATATGATATAGAAATATATACAGTTAAGTCTTTCAGCTTGCATTGTGCAAAATGCGCAGCTCCCTTTGGGAACGCAAAGCGAATTATTCAAAACAATCAAAACCACCAACCAGTGCCAGTGCTCCGAATTGCTTCGAATGGGCCTACTCAAGCCGAGCGGCTCATCTTAATCGCAAAGACCGTGGCTGCTATCTGCAGCATCACAAAGCAGAAAAAGTCCAAGCCAAGATTGGTACAAGCTGATGGCATTTGCCAGGAGCAAAGCTGCTGTTCCTGCATTGGTTGAAATCCTGAGCTCCCAAGGCTTTGCAGTTGCTGCAAGAAAATGCCGCTGATTCGCACCATGGGAGTGGCCATGCCACGCTCTTTCACCAAAGGCTGCACCAAACTTGCAACTCGAGGCCCTTCGCTGTCTGTGCGCAGCAAGCGGGCAGAAATTGCCCCAGTTTGAGCTTCAAGCTCTTTCATCTCTTGCTTCGTAAGTTGTGTCCAAATTTTAGCCGCGCGCTGCAGGCCATTTGGCTGTTGAAGCTCCTTAAGAAGGTTTTGAGCCTCCAGCTTTATGTTATCCCGCTCAAATCTAAGCAAATTGGCAACTAATTTGGAACCTCGGTTCATTGTCTTCCGTGTCCGCTTTACCAAAGGCCCAAAACTTGATGTCAAGCTATTGAAGTCCGATGCGACCAGCCGTACTTCACTCACAACTGTAGGAAGAGTCTGGAAGAGACGATTGAAAATGATCTTCAAGTCGTTGACCGTTGATTGGTCAAGGGCAAGATTCTTTGCTATGGACATCATCTTTTGAATGGGTTTCTTGCCTTTCTTCCCAAAAGCATGCTTAATCCGGTCAACCGTGCTGGAGATAGGCTGCTGCAAATCTTGCCATGCCAACAAGATCGTTTGGACGAGCTTCTGGCTGTGCTCAACCAATTCTGTTGCCCTCTCATTCACAACCATCATCTCTTCCATCTGTTGATGAAGCTCGACACTCAAGTCTTTCACTTGTTTGTCGAAGTCTTGCTTCGTTGAATTTGTTTCATTGCTGGAAATCAAATGAAGGATCCAATCATCAAGCTCTTGCAGTCTCTTCCCAGTGTCCCTGAGGATGATGGCTCCATCTGATGGAGCCTGGTTCAGTGCGTAGCGAATATATTTCAACCATCGCTGGAAAAGAACATCTGCCAGGCGCCAACCTCTTTCAAGGCTCTCCTGAAGCTCTAGGTACACGTGTGCCATATCTCCTTGTGCGAGACCGCGCAATAATGCTCCGGTCAACGACAGGAGTAACCTCTTCCACCCCTTTGCAAGGTGCTTGGTACTATCTGCCAGTGCCCGCGGAACAACTGGAGACAATTCCTCCAATCTTCGGGCATCACCAGGATCTGGAAGCATGAAATAAAAGAGGCTCTCACTGCGGATGTAGCTGCTGACAGGAAATGTCTGTGCAATATAGAAGTACACCCCAGCAGCCAAGCTGAAGAGCATCAAGGAAAGCACCCCACAGCGGAATCGTGTTTTGGGGAAGTCAGCTTGAGGCTTGGCCCAGTGCAAAGCATAAGCTCCGCAGCATGCTGTCAATGTCCCAACCCCAAGTAGAATAGCAAAGGCCATGATCCAACTCCAGGACCGTAAAGCTACCAGTTGCTCACAATCCGCCACGGTGCTACAGAATTCCGCCCAATCCACAGAATTTGAGGCTGGGCTCATGAACTCTTCTTCCAGGTTGCTGGGATCATGCGGCTCATGGCTCCACAGCTGTGGGACTGGGCCATACAGCAATGAGACAGATAGTCCATTCTCGGTCTTTGCAGTGTCCATGCAATTCTCGTAGAGTCGGTCTCCCAGTTTCAAATAAGAATCATTGGGGGTGGCCTCTCGCAAGGACACGCAGAATGCTTCCAGTTTTTGTTGGCAGCTTGTGGTATCCACCATGTAGTTGAAGCTCTCTCCAGGGCTGCAAATACCCACAACATAAGCAGTGAACAGCCCAGCTTTCAAATCAAAAATTGGTTTAGGCTTTGCTGAAAGTGGACGCCGAGGTTTTAGGGCTTCCTTGCCACCTTGTGGCATCATTGACATCATGGTGGCATAGACTTTGTAGACTTCATCAGGCCTCGCAGCCATAGTCTCCTCTTGCCAAGAGCTACTCCTCAAAAGAAACAGAGTGATGCCCAACAGAAGACTCACCATGAGGACCTGGCCACGGTGGGTGCCCTTGGGTCGACTATTTTCGGGCACGACAGCCACAGCTTCACTGGTTTTGCGTAGGCCTGGTGGATCTGGAAGACGTTGCATATATTGCATCTCACAAGTCATGGAAGCTCGTGAGGGTGCGAAGCTTTGGGAGCTTTGCTGGGAGCTTTGCTGAGCATTTGCGGAGATTTGCATAGATCTCCTTTGATGAAATTCCCATATGTCTGGGACAGCACTCTCCAGCTCTAAGGGACTCGCAGTTGGTCTGTTTCTATAGGACTGAAAATGTAGACCAGGAGGCGCTGTTTGTCGCATTTGGGCACGCGCCCCTTGCGACATCAAGACTTGGGAATGGCCGCGCCTTAATGCCCGTGTATGACTATATGACACTGCTCTTTGATCCAGCGGTTGTAACCAGCATGCAGCAATGCAGACTGTCAACATGCACTAGTGTTGTTCAACGGGCTGCTCCATAATGTGTACTTTTCAACCTCGCCTGCCTAGATCTAGCCTCCAGTACAAAATTGACCATCTGCTCATCTGCTCCATCCCAGGAATTACTTGCATAGCTTATGACGTATGCAAAAAACACAGGATCACAATGCAGACTTCTTCCAGGTGCAAGAACTGCGATGCGACCTTTTTGTGGTACGAGAGCATTCGCACTAGCCTCCAGGAACACAAAAATAAAAAGCACAGAGATATCAAATGATATTGATTATTGTATATACAGACTTAACATTCGAACCGAATAATACCTTGAAATTAGATGACATTAAGAAGTCCCTGTCCGACCTGATCCGTGTGAGGAAACGCCTCCGACGGTTTGAAGGTGGAACCCACGAATCAGGTTTAAGCCTCAGGAAATGGTCGACAAATCAACTTTATGCAAGCCTGCTGGCCTTCCTACAGGTGTGCTGAGCACACTCTTTAGAGTCTGTCGGACAGAATTCAATCTTGTTCATACATTCTGCCAGGTTATGGTTAAGTTCCCCAAAAGAAGCTCCCCGTGCCCTCAGGCGAGGGAGCTTCGTTGAAGAAGCTTGAGCCGCCCTCGGGCTAAGATTCAAAAGAAGGGAGGACAAGAAAAAAGGAAACAAGAAACCACAAATTGAGTGTTCCCAGGCTACCAGGCACAGAGTCAAGCAGCACGCCGACAGTCTTATCCCTGACAAACATCCGTGAAGTGGTTTAGCAAGCCAAAGAATTCCAACTGCATTGAGCAATCTTTGGACAAAGAATTCAAAAGCAATCTTTGACCAGTTGGAAACAGCGCTCCTTCGCCTCCGCTTCAGCTGGAGCTTCTTTGGCTGGCACTCACTCTTTCGAGTGAGCTCTGTACAAACAAGGGTCATATTGTCACACCCTTCTCCATTTGTCCTGCAATTCAACTGCGTCTTCCGCAGTGCAAACATGAATCATCAATGAATCAATGATGTACTTTCTTGGACCTCGTTGCCTTCAAGGTTGATGTTATTTGGAGCAAAGAGAATGCTTTGTCATGCATGCCACTTACAACTTGCAGCCAAGCCAAGGGCTCCTGGCTGGATTGGGTGACAACGCACCTGAAGTTGTGCAAATTGTGTCCGCTTGCAACGCAAAAAGGGGTCAAAGACTGGGTTTGGCTTCAACTTCACATTTCTGATCCTTCTGCTAGTGCCCCACAAGCATGCAAAAACCACAGGGTGAAAATCAGCCAGCGGACTGCAGAATTAATCAATTCTATTGTTCTCACAACTAGGAGGCGGACGCGTCAAAAAAGCTGACAACGCGGTTGAAAGTCGATCTTGTTCTTGAAGTCTACAGCGAACGCACTTTTTAGAAGAAAACACTAAAGGAAATGGTATTGGTATTGCACTCTAAGCATGCCGCAGGATTCTTTGTGATACACTGTAAAAGATGCAACAAAATACATTGGAATGCATGCATGGTCAAACATCTACTTTATCCATCCCCACCACAAATGTGCACTGCCTCGGCAAGACAAAGTCGACAACTTGTTGGTTTGTGAAGCGTTCCCAGATTCCATCACATCCCAGGAGCAAGTAGCCTCGCATCCCATCCAAGGAGGGCCGGGAGGGCCATGGCAGGGCCCATGGTAACGCTCCCGTTGACATGCCAAAGTTGCGTCTTTCTGTGTCAGCCAGTACTGTCTTGCAACATCTTGTGGCTATCTTCTGGCCAAGTGACGGTCCTGATCACTGAGCTTTCGCAAACGCACCTGAAATCAAAGCGGAGTGCTTGAGGGCAAAAGGACAAACGGGAGACGCAAAACTCAGACTGAGACTCCGTGAAAGGTGCGAGCATGAACAGCAAACACAAAGGATTGTAGCCAGCCAAGTCTATCTGAAAAATGGAAGTAGTGAAATGGTAGACCAGTTGGACCAGTACCAATAAGGGTCTCACTTCAGGCATTGCGCTAATGAGCTGTTTCTCGGGCGGCAGTTTTGGATTCCTGTCACTGTCGTTGCAAAGTGCACTTGGGTTGGCTGCGATCGTCTACAGAGTCTACAGTATATAAATTGAATTGGAACCAACAAGCAAAGCTCACTGAGCGAGTGAAGTGAAGGCACAATGAGGAACTTCAGGCTCCTCTTGTAGAAGAGATCCCCAATGGCCCTTGACCTGAAGATCAAATCTATTGTTTTTTCTTGATATACATGAATCTGCAAATGTGATACTGGATGTATGCACAAATCACCATACGCTCATATACTCTCCTACTGCTTGCTTGTTCTACAACCGTTGGCTTAGTCTCACACAAGTTGAGGTTGCCTTCAACCCGCCCTTCCCTGAATTGCTGGACAGCATCAGTGAGACAAAACATGCTCAACAAATAAACCTCGCTGCAGCACCAGCTACTGCAAGAATTATTTCCTGTTCTACCTGCTCTATCACCATCTCTATCGCAGACTTAGAAGGGTGGTCAAAACTGAAGAATGAGTGATAAAAAAGAGCAAATATAAAATGGATCGGTAGGAAAACAGACATGGAAAACAGACATGAAAAACAAAAGGTAAGGGTCGCTTTAATATGGTAGTTAAAAGGGCCCTAACCTTCTGTGTTTTTTTAAAGTATCTATCTATCTTTTTCAACCCGCTTCCAAAAGTGAACCGGTAAAATCTGGGAGCGCTTTCTTCAGGCCGCGCCTATTGACAGTGCCGCCAGCCTGCCTCAGCACTCACGGAGCAAGCGTCCGATAATTGTTTTGCCCGCTCCGCCCACCTCCCTACTTAATTAAGTAGGTGCCTACTCCATAAATTAAGTAAGGGAGAAGTAAGCAACTGGGAACTTGTTCGCTCCTGGCTACTGGACGCAGGACAGCTCACACTCGCACTAATCACTATATAAACGTGGTGGACCTTCTTCTTTCCGCTCATTTGACGCTGGCTTTTTTCCTGCTTTCCGTATTATCATGTATGCAGTATGGTCCTTTAAGTGGGTTGGTTTGCTATCTGCTTCAATATGTGCCAGCCATATGTATATATATAATATATATATATATATCTGTGTGTGAGAATGCGCACAGTTGGATTCCAATATGCGGATTTGTCAATGCAACTGCCAAAGGGTTCAGCCCAATCGAATTCAATAACATCGTGCGTTGCTGACTTGTTGACATTCTGCATTCAACTCGGTATTCTGCTGCGTCTGCACGCCGGGGCACCTGATTCGCTTGAGCTCGTCAGGCTCCAGCGGTGAATGATCCCGGGACCTGAGAAACGCTCTGGACTCGCCCCTAGTAGCGTCCATGCTCCTAGTAGCGAGGCCAGCACCCCTTGTAGCTTCTTGTTCCTAGTAGTACGGCCAGGAGCCCCTAGTAGCGTCCATGCTCCCTCTGTGAAGCCGCTGCGAAGCCCTTCCAGACCCTTCCCCCACACAGCGCCAACCTTTTGGTCAATCGCGACGAAGTCCGCGGCTACGGCCCGGCAAACTATCAGAAGCCAGCCCGAGGTGGCGAAGCCTAGGAAATTAGTTCGGTTAATTCACTACGTATGTTCATATCACTGCTAACTCTTCGCAGCCAAGGCACAATGTTGGAAGGAAATCAATAGCCTCTGGTGGAGGGCAAATCTCTCCGGGCCTGAGAAAGGAAATCGGAAATCTCCACCGACTCTTGATGTACTGTAACGGCAAGCAGGATTGCTGGAGCACGGTGGGTTCAAAGCAAGCCTTTCTGACCGAGCCTTCCAAAGCCTTCCTACTACAGAGACCTTGACCACGCCTTGCATTCAGCCCGGAGAGGATCACAAACCTTTGCAAATAGTCGGACAAAATCAAGACAATTGGGACTGGTTTCAAAATGACGGTCACACGCAAGGAAGACGCATCAACCCATGCTTAGTGCTGCTGGGAAGCCTGGTGTTATGTGTATCTGAATCTTGCAGGCCATGTACACCTTGACTACCTGCCTGGGAGAGGCCTTTGTGGATGCACTTGCAGTCCTTGCAAGTTGGCCATGAGTCGCTCTTCATCAGATTATGATTTGAACAAAATATCGGACGAGCGTGTAGGCTGCCAGCCTGATATATTTTTACAAAGCAATCTGCAGCTCTCCTCTACAAACAGGGACCACTGGTCTTTGGACATATCTTTGGCTGCACCTCGCATTCGTCACTCACTTTCTGTGCTCTAATAAGGTTTAACTGCACTCTTTCACGAGTGCACCTCCACCGTGATCAGTGGTGATTGCCAAAAGCCAATCCTCATGGCGGTCTGCCAGGGCATCCAAAAGACGACCTAGCAGCTCTTTAACTTTGCACTGAGAAGAATTTGACAGTATGTTTCCAGAGATAGTCCGAACATCACATGGACGCGATTACTGTTCCAGGTGTGGGCTGAAGGATTCCAGAAAATAGAACTTAAGACTTAGAATAAAGCACATCACAACAAATATGAGATGCACTCTGCATTATCGCACGTCAGCAATGGCTGGTCCTCATGTGTTCGTTAGCTTGTCATTTGCACAGGGAAAAAGGTCATGAGGAAGTGTCACATAGGGACGACACCTAGGAACGACAGTATGCGAGCAAGTAAAAATGCGTTCACTTATCGCAGAGCAGGACGAACTGTTCGACATATCCCGAAGTAGTTGCATGCGCAAAATGGCTCAAAATGACTCTTCAACATCTCCCGAAGTGGACTTTGAGTGCCTCTGTTGCTTTATGGGTGATGCAGCATGTCTACCTTTTGTTGATGCACATCCCTTGTGTTACCTCTCCCACCTAAACAGGCATCAAAGTGCTCAATGGACTCCAAGTACTCCGGTACCTCAAAATTCGTTTCAAAACGAACCGTTTCTTACAGCGTCCAATGGTTCCTTGTTCCGATGGTTCCTCGGTTGGATCTCCTTGCTACGGTTTCTACCAGGACCCACGGCCGCTGCTTTAAAAACTGCACAGGAACCAATTGAACAAGAATAGAATAAGAGACTCATGAGTGATGAGCAACGGCTATGAGGTTGCTTAGGGCGCACGTCCAGGGAAAAGCCATGGACATGGCCGGCCAAGTCTACGCTATGGGTGTACAGTGCCAAAACCTGAAGGCACAACTGTTGCACAAAATGCACAAAGCTTTCGCGGTCTTTCGAGGAATGTCTACATGGTTTCTTGCAGGCTTTCACTTAATTACTGCAAAAGCAATTGATCAGTACTAGAACAATCCAGCATAATTCCAACAATCCATACAAACAGGCGCCAGGAGGCCTCAGGAAGTTCTTGATTCTCCTCCAGTGTTCATGGTTTGGGCACTTTGCGACGAAGAATGTGTGATCTGCCGCAAACTGTTCGCATTTAGCTCCCAACATTTCGCATTTAGCCTCAATGTTTTGAATGCTGTGCTGTCTGCTCCTCCCAGTCTCCTGCAACAGCTTCAGCATTTCTTCAACTGCTTTGTCCAACTCCTCGGCCTGGGAGTTTACAATGTGCATTTTGGCAAACTCTGGCCTACGTGCCTACGAGTTGAAGCCAACATGCTATGCCTCATCACCAAACTTCTTCACCTGGCGGAAAGTGCATCGAAGAGATGACAGACACTCCGGAGAAGCCGGCACAATGCTTCCTGACGCTAATCTTGATCAAATGATACTACTCAGCATTCTACTGGTGTCCTTCTTTGATCTTTGCGAGATATTTGTGCGTGTGCTCTGTGGCTGTGTCGATTCTTTCAAAGACTCAAAAGCAGACTCAGATTTCAAGGAAGGAAAAACAAAGGAAGGAAATCAGAAAGACTGTCGATTCTTCGCAATTTCACATTTGACTGTCGATTGTCACTCCCCAACCTCCAAAGACTGGCCCGTGGCATCTGCACACAGTTGTGGCACACCCGGCCAGCCCACATTCAGCAGCTTTGCGGAGCAACCATTCTGTGATAAGAAATGGAACCTAGGCTTAACCTATTGTTTGGGGTTACCCAGGTCAACCAAACATTCGAAGATGTTTTTGATCACAAACAGTGAATGCAAACTTGAACATCACTGACTTAGACAAAGCAATCTCTCTGTCAGTGCTTCCATGAGGCAGAGTGGGTGGAAAAGGACTTGCTGGATTTGCAAGCTTCTGCCGCTTGGCCTGGCATCGCACCAACTGGAGCTGTTTGGTCTAAACAGGTCTGACCACCCCCAGCCCTAGCGTCCCCAACGTCCCTAGCATCCCTAACGTCCCTTGTGCCATTATGGTTATCCTCCCTTCTGCACCTGGCTGAAAGCTGATGCAAAGCAGCTAGCTGACCGCACTGGAGTGCACAGGCAGTCTGAGGGTTGCCTGGTCAGCTCAAGCACTACTGCACGCAGAAGCTCTCAGATTCTAAGATCTGTAACTTTTTAAGCATCCAATACAGTAGTTCTTTAATAGAAACCGCCAGCGCTTTCGTTCGTTTGGGATGCAAAGGCTCAATAGGCAATCGTGAATTCAGTTGAAGTCGTCTGTGGCACCAAGCCTTTGAGATGCAACAACACTGCGAAGCAGGGTTGGTTGCCAGCCACCCTCTTTTGACGAGTACCCCAAGGCCAGCCAATGTGGAGCCAAGCAACACAAGTAATCTTCCTTGCGAGTCAGTCGAGAGAAGGGAGTCCTTGGCGCAGCCATTCACGTTTTGAAGGAATTGGGGGCAAGTCAAACTTGTGAGACAAAGAATCTGGAACAAAAACGGATCACAGGCAACCCTTGTGCATAAAGGTTCTCCTCACTTGCTAGATCTTAAGAAAACCACGATCGAGAAGAAAGGGAATCACAAGCAGGAGTGACACAGCGACACATGGTTTCAGGCAACTGGACATACACCCTACTGGTGCCCGTTGAAGTTAATACATTTTGCATGTGGGGATACCGAACCACCATGGAACGCCGAGTTGCAAAAGTCAGTACTTAAGTCAAGACTGTTGGCCTTCCCCATGGTGAACGCTACATACAGAACAAGGTTCTCTCTCTCCAACAAGGTGACGCCATGAATTATGAATGTAGGGCATGATCTGTCAATCTGAACTTAGTTTGGGGAAGGTTCAAGGGGAATCAAGCACCAAGGCCAAACGGAGCAAGAGCCGGTTGTCCTTGGTTGTTCCTGTTGCTGAATAACGCGTTAACATCACAAGTGGCGTAACCTGGTTCTTCAAACCAGGAAGTGGATGAGACAAAGAAACAAACATGGCACCTGGAAGTGCTCTGGATTCTCTCTCTCTCTCTCTCTGTGATGTCACGCTTGTCGCCAAGCAACGAGGTCATTGCTGGTGATGCGGTGGACAGCAGCCCTCTGTCCCGTCAGCAATGTAGCCCATGATGGTGCAGAAAGTGGGATAGGATCTGGGATTTTGAGAGGGCTCGGTGGCCAAATGCTTCGTATATGGTTGGCAGCTGTTGGACATTAACTTGTACTGACTCGAGCTAGATCATTGTCAGGAACTTGGCCCACTATAGACTCGCAACAACTATCTGCATATATATATATATGTCTATATCTAATGAATTTATATATATATATATGTATGTGTGTGTATCCAACATAGGGCAACCTTTTTTTTTCACCCTTTAACCCTTTTTTTTTCACCCCACCCTTTTTTTTCCACCCTCCACCTTTCTTTTTCACCCTCTGAACCTTTTTTTTTCACCCTCGAACCTTTTTTTTTCACCCTCTACCCTTTCTGTTTTGACCCTCGACCCTTTCTTTTTCACCCTCCTTCCTTTGCTTGGTATGTTGGTTGGTTGGCTGCAAACCAAATATCGACAGCCTTTGGGGAAAACACAAGGTGGTGTGGCTTTGGTTGCTTGGTTTGTTGGTTGCTTGGTGGGCTGCCAACGCAAAGCAAGTATCGACAGCATTTGGGGAAACTAGAGTTTGGTTGCTACCCTTTCTTTTTTACCCCACTTCCTTTGGTTGATGTGTTGGTTGGTTCGCCCTGCTTGGCTTGTTGGCTGCTTGGGTTTGGAGAAAATACATACAGTGATGGATGCATCATGGACAGGGAGAAGAATGTTACTTTTTGGCGCGTTGGTTTGTTGGTTGGCTTGCCGTGATTGCTTGCGTGATACAGTGCTTGATGGACATACATGTTTTCCTGTTTGTGTGCTTGGTGGATGGATGGATGGATGGATGGATGGATGGATCTGAAACTTGGTTTTTTGTGCTTGTATAGTCTATTCCGTTTTCAGCCCTTTTCACCATGCCCACCGGCGGGCCTTCGCCTCTCTGGCACCACAGTGCTGGCCCAGCTAGCAGCAACATTCTGGCCTCACATACCACGCACACACGCACACCCACACATCTGGCACCACAGCTCCTGGCCCAGCTAGCAGTATGATTCTGGCGGCCCCATATATATATATATACATATATAAATGTATATATATAATATACACACACATTCACGCTCGCAACTGACAGGGCACAGACTTCCCCTCACTCCGTTCCACCGGCCTCCTTAGCGCCGCGGCACCTGGCTCAGACATCAGCTAGATTCATCTCACATTCCATCCGTACAAGATCTCGTCCAACCCTATTCTACATGTAGACACAGGTCAGAAAAGACACATTCGCTCCCCTACGCTGCTTTTCTGTGGTCTGTGGTTATGGCGGGCACGCTGTATCACTGGCCCTTGCGCTTGCGACCTCGCGGCCTCAGCGTCGGGATGTTCTGCATGCTAGCTGTGGGATCGTTCTGCAACGCCTTGATGAAGAGCACGTGCTCGCAGTCAGCGTGCAGCAAGAATTCCCGGCAGGTGCACAGCTTGCCAGGGACCGCTTTCTTCAGCTTGCGGTGGCTGCGGGGCCATGACACTTGGACCAAGTGCCCCTCCAAGACTGCGCAATACCTGTGCATGTATTTCTGCAACGCTCCCAATTCTAGCCGCCCCTCCCTGACAATACCTCCCTTCGCCAGCCACTTCTCTAACTGCGTGCCCTCTGCCGCGATGAGGTTGGCAACCGTCTCCGCCACATCGGGCAGCACAATCGCTTCCGCTGCTGTGACTTTGTCGTGGGCTCTGCTTTGCAGCACCCAGAACGTGGTCATCCCTTCCATCCCAGCACCCTCTGTGTCACCTGTGCGGATGTACACTTCGCGGTAGTTGCGGTTCCCACAAAGCCGCTTTTCACGGTGTTCCCAGAAATCCCTAGCTGGGGATCTACCCGCCGAGCGTAGACTTTGGCTATTGAACAGTGCATCTGCCGAGCGTGCGGGCCATGTCACGAACTTCTTCTCTTCGTCCCACGCAAATCGTGCTGCCCAATCCTTTTGGAAAAGGTCTTGCATGCTGCCAAATATGTCTGCTGGCGATGTCCTTGCTTTGGCTTTGATAGTGCCTTGCCAGTAGGAGTGAAATGATTCCAGCGGCTGTGTTCCAGAGCTGCTGCCTGGATACGTTCCCAGAATTCCGCCCCAGAAGCCGCCAAACCACAAGCTGTCAGCGCCCCAAAGTGTCGCATTGCAGCGAAAGCCTTTCTGCAGGCTCTCGGTGGGCACCTGCTGAAAGTAGGTCCGCTGCAAGTACTCTGCGGCCGCTGCGCTTTTCTCCCGCAGCCACGGAAAAGCCAGCTGCCAAATGGCATCGAACATTTGCACCGTCGGAACCTCCCGGCTGATTTGGATAACCCTCTCCAGTTGGCTGAAGTCTTCCTCCTCTTTCGCCGCCATGGTGCTTGCCCTCGCTGGACTTGGCGACGCGCGCTTCTTTGCTTTGTCTTTGCTGGTCCTGCGGAAGCGCACGCGCTACAAGAATCTCTGCGCTTTGCTTCGCGTTTTTTTTTCGTCCCTACAAAACACCCTGACCCGTACGGTTTCCAAGTGCCCTCTTTACCTTCGCCTGCAGCCCTGACCTCGGCCTCTGTGTTTTCGTCGGCAAATACTTCTGGAGAACTTTGTAGGAGGCCCGGCGCATATGCACATAGTCGTCACATGGGCGGGCATACGGAAAGACTTTGCGCCGGGACGCTTCGATCCCCTTGGCGTAGTCCTTGTGCACTTGCCAAACTTGCGCGCGTAGATCTAGGCCGCAATATCGCTCTGCAAGGTTGCATGCCTCCGTGAAGATCTGCGTCATATTGGCCTCTGACTCCGAATTCACCAACGCTTGGATGAAGGGTTCTTGTGTGGCAGTGTGCGTGTCAATAGACTTTGTGTGCTTGGTCCCTGCCCAGGTTTTGCTCGGCGTCGCGCTGCTCACCAAAAATGAGACTGTCACGATCCCATATTCATTGGCCACGATTTTCTGCTTGGCGTCCACGGCCAGCTTCACCACCTTCCCTTGCAGACAGGCAGCGCGTCGCAGCATGCCCGGGCAAGTCCACACGACGCAGATCCTGTCCACCTCCAAGGTTGGACATGGTAGAACCACTAGTCGCCATGGGTTCCACGTTGCCCATGCCTCCATGCTCTCGCACATGTAGTCCATGGCCGCGTTGCGCACCTGGCTCAAGGTTAGGTTGCCCTTGCCGCTCTGGGAAGGGCCCGTGCGATTGAAACGCACCACAAAGTTGCGCAGCTGCGTGTTGGTACAGCGCACTTGCAGCTGGTGTGCCTGCAGCGCGTCCCGCACATCTTTGGGCGTAACCCTGGGCCGCTTTGCATCCAGCCCGCTCAATGCCCATGCCTCTGCGCATGTCCATAGTCTCCCACCGCTTGGCGGCTGTAATTTTCCATGGCAACCTTTCTCCTCTATGCAAAGAAGGGGGCCTTTCTCAGCAAAACATACACTTGCTTTCACTTGTTTCGTGCATCCACTACAAGCGCTCTTGTTGCAAATCCCTAGCGCGCTTTTGCCCTCCCTCTTCAAGTTCTTCTCATGGAAGGTGTACATGCCTGGGTCTCCTCGCTCCCCCAGCACGCGTTCGGCGGCTTGCCACAAGCTTGTGTAGGTTGCCACATCCTCCACTGGCTCGCCATGGAAAACCACGCTCCACGGCTCTCTTTCGCTCACACGGCTCGCCTCCACAGCGTCTGGGCTAGCCTCTTCCGCCTCTCCTCGGCTGCTTGCAGGCAAGGCCTTCGCCTCGTTCCTGGCAACAGTGACACAAGGACAAAATGTATCAGGACCGATCAGCTGGTCACCTCACCGTCACACACCTGTTCGGCTCCGAGCCCCGCTGGTTCCCTATACACCGTGCGCGCCTCGACAGCCCACGCTCGCGGCATTGGATCGGGCCAGATCCTGTCTTGTCTCCTCCTGCGCTGTCAGGCGGCCGGCTCTTCGCAGTCGTCTTGCTCGTCCTGCAAGCCACACGACGCAAAACGCAAACATATGACTTTGCTCTCACAACGGCGGCACGGCCCCGCCAGCATTCTCGTCCTAGGTCCTATAGGCCCCCCAACCCATATTCACCGCGCCCCTGCGTGCCTGGGCCGCGGGGGCTCCGTCGTCGCCGCGTGCCGCGGCGGTCCAAATGACCAACTTGGAACGCCCATATCCTTCAGAGCCTCTTTGGCTTCCTGGGACAATGCCGTGAAAGCACCCTTGACAAAGACACGCAGCAGCTGCTCCTGCGTGAGGCGCTGTTCGCGGATCTCTCCAAGACCCCGCTCCACCAGCAAGGCCATCACTTCCTCATATGCCGCAGCTCCCCACATCGGGCCCGGCAGGTTCCGGAACGGTGGCCCACAGCGCCGCGTCCACTCTGCACACCACCCCGAACCCACCAAGGTGCGAAGAACCTCTGCCATCGCTTCCACACCCTGTCGTCGAGCGACGTACCGCGTGGAGAAGTCTGCTTCTTATCCCTCTATTTTCACGTCTGTGCTCATTTCTCCTCCCTATAGGCTCGGTGCAGTTCTGCGCTCTCTCTCTCTCTCTCGCTCTATTATATATATACATATATATGTCTATATATATATATATGTATAGATAAGCCATTTACCCCTGCCTCTGCTGCAGGTTGTTTGGGCGCTCTCCGCGTGAGTCGGCCATGCTTGCGCATATCTACCTCCAAGACGGCCAAGCCATAGAGGAACCTTTCCTGAAAGCACAGAGTCCCCATCTTCAAGGCCTCTGCGCTGAGCTGCCCGCTCCACGCCGGCAAACTCGCTTGGATCCTCGTTGCTTGCTGCCCCAGCCAGCCCGTGCTCCACGGCCCCACAAACGCAACCACACACACACATATCACACACGCGCGCGCGCCGTTCGGGTGCAGCCAAGGCGCCCACAGGCCACCGGCCACAGCCCCTCCAAGAGAGTTCCGAATAAGGCCACAGTGCTGACCCAATAGGGTGCTTTGCGCAGTCCACTCACCAGGGTTTCGCTGAAGAATGTGCGTTTGGTGACATCTCGGCGCGCCAACCGATATGCATGGAAGACCTCTTTCAAGGCAGGCGTCA